CTCGCAGGCCTCTAGAGAGGAGTTCAACAGATTTCATAAACTCAGTGATTATACTTGAGTTGGGTTATAGACCTCAGTGATGATTATACTCAGGTTGGGTTATAGACCCCATTGATTATACTCGGGTGAGTTTTAGACCTCAGTGATTATACTCGGGTGAGTTTTAGACCTCAGTGATTATACTCGGGTTGGGGTTTAGACCTCAGTGATTATACTCGGGTTGGGTTTTAGACATCAGTGATTATACTCAGGTTGGGTTATAGACCTCAGTGATTATACTCGGGTTGGGATATAGACCTCAGTGATTATACTCAGGTTGGGTTTTAGACCTCAGTGATTATACTCAGGTTGGGTTTTAGACCTCAGTAGCCGCGTTTCCACTGCCGGGCTAGGGCTGGGCCAGAGCTAACAGCGAGCCGGGCCGAGCTAGTGGCCTCGGGCCTCAAGCACCGGGCTTGCGTTTCCACTGCCGGGCCAGTAGCCCCACAGCGCTGCCCCAGACCCCACCCCTAACACGCCTTTCTGGATCAAACGTCATAAAACCCAACCCATTTCAGCCGGTATTATGAATTAATTTATTTTTTAAATTAGGAAGATAGCATGTATATTAACTCAACTGCCGTAGTGGCTGCAATAGTGTCCCGAGACCAGTAGGCCTACAGGCGATTCTCCATTTCAAGCAGCGATTTTTTGCGCGATATAACAAGTAGGGCTGCGGGCACGTTTTCAAGTTATTCATTAATCGTTAACCGAGGCCCATCGGTTAATACTCGGTGCAGTGTGCGCGCCGCAACCTCGAGATACAGAGTAAAAAATTTTAACACCTTTAATAACTGATTGGACCCCATTTGAAACTAAATTTATTTATAGAAATAAAACGCAGCAAGTACGGAGCAGTTAAAGCCCCATTTCCATCACCCTTCAAACTGAAATTGCCAATTGAAAAAGCAAAACGTCCATTTCACAAAAACTCCGTGTCTGCAAATAATAATAATAATAATAACCATCATCATCATTATTGTAACATTTTATTAGGCTGCATATATAGAAGACGCCTTTATCCAAAAAAGGAACAGAGCACAAATAAACACAATATTTTTGACAAATATCAGCGCATATCCAGTGTGTGTGGAGCACGCACTGATGGCTGCGAGATGCCCATGTGAACAGTTTCATTGCATTTCTTTCAGTGGAAACAACTTAAAATACTCTTTAATTTCTGGTCATACAGAAAATAATAATACATTATTCGCAAATAAATTTATTTATAACAAGAAAACGTTGTGCTTTAACAATTAATCAAGGCGCGCATGATCTCCGTGAACTGAAGCGCGAGACCTGAAACAGCCACCGCATTCGAATTTGTTCGTTTTATATTGGACATTTAAAGCTTTAGTCTACAGGGGTTATATCCTTTGTAGATTAAAGCTTTAAATGTCCAATTTAAAACGAACAAATTCGAATCGAAAGCCAATATCTTCTATTTATGTAGCTTAATTTCTCTCTAAATGTGCATCCGGAGATGGAGATATGTTTTTAGCCGAAAATCATTTAGAAAACAATAGTTTATTAATAAACAATTAATTCCTCGTTATTTTATATTATTTTATTATCAGACACATTTATTATAGCCTATAAATCACCCATAAATCCCCTTTCTGTAGGCTGTGGTTACGGCTCTTCTCATTCAGCACTGCAGGGAAAATATCATTTCCAGGTTCTAATTTGGCCTCAGAAAACCAGTAAAATATATATTTTTTTTCATATTAATTTGTCAAATATTTTAAATGTTTAAGGGGCAAAAAAAATCAAACAAATATCTGAAAATTCGTCGATATGTAGCTATATATAGCCTATATATTGTTGCGCAGCATTTGGCATAGGCCTACAGTTCAAATTAAAATGTTATGCAATTTTAAACGGTTAATCGGTTAAACATGGACACCCCTATGTGCATCTTGCTTCAGATCATAACGTTCCATAACACCGATAAACTCCGCCTTTTACCTTGAGCATGCCTCTAGCCCGAGCTGGCCCCCTCTGGCCCAAGGTATTCGACGGGCCAGAAATCCTGGCCGTTGGCCCTGAGGAAGCCCTGATCAAGCCCCGGAAGTGACAGTGGAAACGCGACTGGCCCTGGCACGCACTAGCACGGCCCGGCCCTGGCCCGGCAGTGGAAACGCGGCTAGTGATTATACTCAGGTTGGGTTATAGACCTCAGTGATTATACTTGGGTTGGGTTATGGACCTCAATGATTATACTCGGGTTGGGTTATAGACCTCAGTGATTATACTCGGGTTGGGTTTTAGACCTCAGTGATTATACTTAGGTTGGGTTTTAGACCTCAGTGATTATACTCGGGTTGGATTATAGACCTCAGTGATTATACTCAGGTTGGGTTATAGACCTCAGTGATTATACTTAGGTTGGGTTTTAGACCTCAGTGATTATACTCGGGTTGGGTTATAGACCTCAGTGATTATACTCAGGTTGGGTTATAGACCTCAGTGATTATACTCAGGTTGGGTTATGGACCTCAATGATTATACTCGGGTTGGGTTATAGACCTCAGTGATTATACTCGGGTTGGGTTTTAGACCTCAGTGATTATACTCAGGTTGGGTTATAGACCTCAGTGATTATACTCGGGTTGGGTTATGGACCTCAATGATTATACTCGGGTTGGGTTATAGACCTCAGTGATTATACTCGGGTTGGGTTTTAGACCTCAGTGATTATACTCAGGTTGGGTTATAGACCTCAGTGATTATACTCAGGTTGGGTTATAGACCCCATTGATTATACTCGGGTTGGGTTTTAGACCTCAGTGATTATACTCGGGTTGGGGTTTAGACCTCAGTGATTATACTCGGGTTTGGTTATGGACCTCAATGATTATACTCGGGTTGGGTTATAGACCTCAGTGATTATACTCGGGTTGGGTTTTAGACCTCAGTGATTATACTCGGGTTTGGTTATGGACCTCAATGATTATACTCGGGTTGGGTTATAGACCTCAGTGATTATACTCGGGTTGGGTTTTAGACCTCAGTGATTATACTCAGGTTGGGTTATAGACCTCAGTGATTATACTCGGGTTGGGTTTTAGACCTCAGTGATTATACTCGGGTTGGGGTTTAGACCTCAGTGATTATACTCGGGTTTGGTTATGGACCTCAATGATTATACTCGGTTTGGGTTATAGACCTCAGTGATTATACTCAGGTTGGGTTTTAGACCTCAGTGATTATACTCGGGTTGGGTTTTAGACCTCAGTGATTATACTCGGGTTGGGGTTTAGACCTCAGTGATTATACTCGGGTTTGGTTATGGACCTCAATGATTATACTCGGTTTGGGTTATAGACCTCAGTGATTATACTCAGGTTGGGTTATAGACCTCAGTGATTATACTCGGGTTGGGTTTTAGACCTCAGTGATTATACTCGGGTTGGGGTTTAGACCTCAGTGATTATACTCGGGTTTGGTTATGGACCTCAATGATTATACTCGGGTTGGGTTATAGACCTCAGTGATTATAATTGGGTTGGGTTATAGACCTCAGTGAATATACTTGGGTTGGGTTTTAGACCTCAGTGATTATACTCAGGTTGGGTTATAGACCTCAGTGATTATACTCGGGTTGGGTTATGGACCTCAGTGATTATAATTGGGTTGGGTTATAGACCTCAGTGATTATACTCGGGTTGGGTTTTAGACCTCAGTGATTATACTCAGGTTGGGTTATAGACCTCAGTGATTATACTCGGGTTGGGTTTTAGACCTCAGTGATTATAATTGGGTTGGGTTATAGACCTCAGTGAATATACTCGGGTTGGGTTTTAGACCTCAGTGATTATACTCAGGTTGGGTTATAGACCTCAGTGATTATACTCGGGTTGGGTTATGGACCTCAGTGATTATAATTGGGTTGGGTTATAGACCTCAGTGATTATACTCGGGTTGGGTTTTAGACCTCAGTGATTATACTCGGGTTGGGTTATGGACCTCAGTGATTATAATTGGGTTGGGTTATAGACCTCAGTGATTATACTCGGGTTGGGTTTTAGACCTCAGTGATTATACTCGGGTTGGGTTTTAGACCTCAGTTATTATAATCGGGTTGGGTTTTAGACCTCAGTAATTATACTCTGATTGGGTAGACCTCAGTGATTATACTCAGGTTGGATTTTAGACCAGCATGTTTTCAGCATCGTGCTCCCGGGGGTTTTCAGGGTGGGTGTGGAATGTGAAGTATGATGATTTTTCTCAAAAGCCTGTGGGATCTTTAGACCTCAGACTCACTTTTGAACACATTATCTCGCTTCTGAAGCTCCTGGATCCTCACTGCATGTTCATGCATGCTAATTAAATAAACTCTCGACTGTGTGCACGACATTTAACAGATTATTTCACATAAGTCAAAGGATAATTCATCAGTTGTTCACGTTCCTCAAGAAACAGCTGCTCTTTGTTTTCAAAAAGTTTATTTGTGCATGGCATCCACATGATTCACTTTCAAAAAATGTGGTTGCTTCCTTCGTGACTAGTTGTTTTAGATGCACCTTTTCCAAACTAATATTTCCAGTTTAAATGAGAGCTATGATGAGTTATGAATTGCATCCCTTTTTATAAGAGTATGTAATGCCACACAATTAGTCCTTTGTTTTCTTTGTTCATTAAGGTGAATCAGAAGCACTTTACTGAAGTCATTTTAATTGGCCATTAGTTTAGTGTGTATGCACGTCTTGTTCTTTGAAAGTATGCCACAAGTTTCTGCTTTAATGAATACGAATAACCTGTTTACACATTTCATTTCCATAGATCATTTACTGTAACACATTCCTGTCGTTTTAGTCGACGGTTATGAACACTGTAAACTCCAGGACACTTTTTGTTTGCTCTTTAGCTTTTATCTGAACTTTAAACCGAATTCTCAATCTCTGGATCTCTAACTGAATGTCGTCTTCCACAGAACTGAGTCGGGAACACCGGGAGCCGGGGAAAGTCAGGATGGCGAGAAGTCGAGTAAACGCAAGACGTCTCTGTTCGGCTCGGTTTTCAGGTCAAAGGTCAGAGCTCGAGCTGGCATTAATCCAACATGTGCATGGCGGGATTATTGACCTTAACTAAAATTGAACTTAACTAAAAGGTTTAAATATTTTAATAAAGATGAAGTCAAATCAAATGTAGATATTAGTGTCACAGTGTCTGGATGTGTTCCCTTGTTTGTCCACTCCTTCCCCACTGTGTCATTCACTATCTGGAACTGCATTTCCCATCATCCTGTTCTGTCACTTACTGATCATTGCACTCAGCTGTTTCCCGTAATCATTGTTCCCAGCTGTTCTGTGTTAGTCTTGTTAGAGATGTGTATATATTCCCTGTGTTAGTATGTGTACGGAGTTGTTGTTTTATGTCAGCACACTTTGGAGTTCTGTGTTTCTTGCCAGTTTCTTGTTTTGTTTGTTTATTTTGTATTTGGATTGATAACATGGACTTTAAACCTTGCCTGGATGATTACGAGATGGGTTGCCCTTAATTAAAATTTTACTGCAACTGGATTTTCTGTTCCCTGTGTGTGTTCGTAACAGAACGACTCCATCACACCTAAATCCAGCGGTAATTTTCTTTTCTTTTTTTTTTTCTCGGAAGATCTCTTCCCCAGTCATCATGTGGATTCCACGTAGCAAGCTTTCTTCCACTGAGAGGGAGAATGGCATCTCGCTACTGGAATATTTTTCGAGATGTGCACGAAGGCATGAGGAGATCAGGGTAGCTGAGGCTTCACCACTGGTCTCATCGAACGCTGGGACTTCGTCAATGGTTTCGTCCATTTCTGAGGCGGCAGAAATCCGTCTGAAAGGACGAAGGAGGAGAAGGAGACCTGTATCTGCCCAGCGAGAGACTGTTCGCGTCCCGTCTGCCCAGCGGGAGACTGCTCGCGTCCGGTCTCCCCAGCTGGAGAGCGCTCACGTCCCGTCTGCCCAGCGGGAGACCCCTCACGTCCCGTCTGCCCAGCGAGAGACTTCTCTTGTCCCGTCTGCCCAGCGAGAGACTTCTCTTGTCCCGTCTGCCCAGCGAGAGACTTCTCACGTCCCGTCTGCCCAGCGAGAGACTGCTCACGTCCCGTCTGCCCAGCGAGAGACTGCTCACGTCCCGTCTGCCCAGCAAGAGACTGCTCACGTCCCGTCTGCCTTGCTGAGCTGGGACTATCTGGAGCGGCTATCTCGGATATCGAAGAGGCCGGTGTCCAGTGTTTCAGAGCTGAACCCAGTGCCTGTTCCAGAGCCGGAGGCAGAGTCAGTGCCTGTTCCAGAGCCAGAGGCAGAGCCAGTGCCTGTTCCAGAGCCGGAGGCAGAGCCAGTGCCTGTTCCAGAGCTAAAGCTCATGTCAGTTTCGGACCCAGTGTTTTTGTCTGTCCTTGTGACTGTTTCTGTTCTAGTGTCTGTTCCTGAGCCGGTGTCTGTTCCTGAGCCACTGCCTGTTCCAGAGCCGGAGGCAGAGCCACTGCCTGTTCCAGAGCCGGAGGCAGAGCCTGTGCCTGTTCCAGAGCCGGAGGCAGAGCCAGTGCCTGTTCCAGAGCCGGAGGCAGAGCCTGTGCCTGTTCCAGAGCCGGAGGCAGAGCCAGTGCCTGTTCCAGAGCCGGAGGCAGAGCCAGTGCCTGTTCCAGAGCCGGAGGTAGAGCCAGTGCCTGTTCCAGAGCCGGAGGCAGAGCCTGTGCCTGTTCCAGAGCCGGAGGCAGAGCCAGTGCCTGTTCCAGAGCCGGAGGCAGAGCCAGTGCCTGTTCCAGAGCCGGAGGTAGAGCCAGTGCCTGTTCCAGAGCCGGAGGCAGAGCCTGTGCCTGTTCCAGAGCCGGAGGCAGAGCCAGTGCCTGTTCCAGAGCCGGAGGCAGAGCCAGTGCCTGTTCCAGAGCCGGAGGCAGAGCCAGTGCCTGTTCCAGAGCCGGAGGCAGAGCCAGTGCCTGTTCCAGAGCCGGAGGCAGAGCCAGTGCCTGTTCCAGAGCCGGAGGCAGAGCCAGTGCCTGTTCCAGAGTCGGAGGCAGAGCCAGTGCCTGTTCCAGAGTCGGAGGCAGAGCCAGTGCCTGTTCCTGAGCCGGAGGCAGAGCTAGTGCCTGTTCCAGAGCTGGAGCTCATGTCGGTTCCAGACCCAGTGTTTGTGTCTGTCCTTGTGACTGTTTCTGTTCTAGTGTCTGTTCCTTGGCCGATGTCTGTTCCTGAGGCGGTGTCTGTTCTCGAGCCGGTGTTTGGTCCTGAAAGGTCTGCTCCGCCCTGGCCACCCGAAAGGTCTGCTCCGCCCTGGCCGCCCGAGGGGTCTTCACCGCCCAGGCCGCCCGAGGGACTCTCTGTTTCGCCCTGGCTCCCCGATGGACTCTTTGTCTCGCCCTGGTCCCCAGTTAAGCCCTCATCCCTTGTTCCTGTCTCCCTTCACGGACCTGGTCCACCATCCCTCCCCCTGATCCTCCACCACTCCACCTCCCTCCTGAACTCTTGTGTCAGGTTTTTTTAATGTTGTCGTAGAGCGTCTGGTAGCCGCTCCGTAGAGGGGGGGTTATGTCACAGTGTCTGGATGTGTTCCCTTGTTTGTCCATTAGATGTCCTCCTTCCCCACTGTGTCATTCACTATCTGGAACTGCATTTCCCATCATCCTGTTCTGTCACTTACTGATCATTGCACTCAGCTGTTCCCCGTAATCATTGTTCCCAGCCGTTCTGTGTTAGTCTTGTTAGAGATGTGCATATATTCCCTGTCTGTGTTAGTATGTGAACAGAGTCGTTGTTTTTTTTGTCACCACACTTTAGAGTTCTGTTTCTTGCCGGTTTCTTGTTTTGTTTGTTTATTTTGTATTTGGATTGATAACATGGACTTTGAACCTTGCCTGGACGACTACAAGATGGATTGCCCTTAATTAAAATTTTACTGCAACTGGATTTTCTGTTACCCGTGTGTGTTCGTGACAATTAGTATAAAAAACTTAAAAATATAAAAATTATAAAAATTTAAATGAAAATTACAAATGTTGCCTTGGCAATAAACTGAAATAAGTTAAATATGAAGCACTACAATTATTAACTGGAAATTAATCAAAATGAAATAAAATTACATTAAACCTACATAGCATTTATTTAAAATAAAAAACGAATAAAATTACAAAAAATTCAACTAAAATTAACAATAAATACCAGCTAATTTAAAATATTATTAAAACTAAAATAACACTGCTGCACCCTTGACAAAATTGCAGTAAACATTTATCTGTTGTTTTTAGGGTTAATGTGCAAACGTTTATGTCAGTATGTGTACGTTACAATGGGAAAAAATGAGCAGATATTGGTGGTGTGCATGCAAAAAATAATGATAAAACAGTAAATGAGAAGATATTAGCAGTGTGCATGCAAAAATAATGATAAAACAGTAAATGAGCAGATATTTTCAATGTGCATGCAAAAAATAATGATAAAACAGTAAATAAGCAGATATTAGCAGTGTGCATGCAAAAAAAAGATAGAACAGTAATTAAGCTGATATTAGCAGTGTGCATGCAAAAATAATGATAAAACAGTAAATGAGCAGAGATTAGCAGTGTGCATGCAAGAAAATAATGATAAAACATTAAATGATCAGATAGTAGCAGTGTGCATGCAAGAAAATTATGATAAAACAGTAAATAAGCAGATATTAGCAGTGTGTATGCAAAAAAAAATATGAAAAAACAGTAAATGAGCAGATATTAGCAGTGTGCATGCAAAAAATAACGTTAAAACAGTAATGCTAGTTGAGCTGGTTAGTGGGACTCCATCACCCCCTGGTGGATAATGTGTTCACTACACCATCTATCTCATTTATCATCAAACCGAATCCTGGTGGTTTGTAGAAAAAATTTTGCACAGAAAAGTGAAAAAGTGAATAGAACACAATAACAATTGATTTATATGCATATATTAGATTGATTAGTCAGAAAATGAATAGCGGTTGAGCACATCAATATCACACATTGACTCCAGGTGTAAATATAGGCTACTTGTCTCATTATTGTTTGTTGTCACGGCCATTCTCATATATTTACATCCATATTTTACATTCTAAATAAATAAATGAATGAATGAACACAGTTATTTAGTGTTGATGATGATGATGATGATGATGATGATGATGTTCAGTGGCCCAGAATGTCGTTCTCTTTTAGGATAGACGCGCACACACCTGCAGAAGGACACGCGTGACTGACTCATTTCAGCAGTTCGTGCCTCTGGATACTTCAAATTTTTATTTTAAGCTCATTTGTATTATGACAGTTATTATTGTTAGTAATATACTGTTATTAATAATAATAATTGTACATGCAGCTGCCACACAAAAAATCTAATTTAATTGCAATTGCAATATTTTATAATTTTATTTATCACAAAACTGTGCAGCCCTTTTCTATGTCTCTATCCATGATATTGATCCACAATAGAAGGATGATCGGATGAGGGATGGATTTATGGATATCTGTCTATACAGATTGTGATGTCATGAGAGGCGACACATATCTCAGCGGGACAGTTCAAGTAGTGCAAGGAGGACACAAAGTTCAAGTGAAAACAAGGATTTTATTCAGTTTTTTGGTAATATCAGAAATAGCGTTCCCAACTCAAAAAGTGTAACTAAGGATCAGGTCGGTCTTCAACAGTCAAAACTTAAAGGATGCCTCTGAGGGTGGAATCATGATCTTGTTTCCCTCAGGAACGTAAACTTTCAAAGTCTTTTCCAACCTTACATCAGTCCGTGTTGCAGCCCGTGGCAAAGCCAGCAGTACATCTTCCAAATGTCTGGTGAGTATCCAACCTTCATTATTCCTTGTGGAACCAATCCTGGCATGGTCTTGGTTCTCCACAGAGAGCACAACCTGAAGCTTGACTCCCCAAACCTCACACACCCCGTCACCTAACCCTTAAGTAGGCCTCCAGCTCATCAGACCCTGATCAGTCTCAGGTGTGCAGGAACTTTGTGTATTGAGGGGTGGAGTTCCCGCCATCACCAGCAGATGGAGCCACAGCTGTTTGTGGTTGCAGCCACCTCAGGGAAA